TGAATATTAATGTATTTGTAAATGTTAATAAACATCCCATAACGATATATAAAGCATGCTCTATGTCCATTCTGCAACAAGGTAACCTATTAACATTGGCTAACAGAGAAAAAAAAGAGTAAAATGTTCTTCTGTCTTTGGAACTTCTCTCCTATTATTTAAGATGTAAAAAAAAGATTAAAATGACGAGCATACTCTCATTCAATGGACTTGTTTGTCAAAATACAATTACAACACACAGACCCAATAAAATGATTAAATTTTCCACTTATTTCATGGCATTTTAGTGAAAATTTATTTTCACAAATAATTCCGTGGAGAAGCAAATGATGAAAGTAACAGAAAATGACAAAAAAAGGTTTTGAAATTGTTGAAAAAGCAATTTTGATCGTTTATGAAGGATGCTCATCTGGTGAGAAACATGTGCTGAACAGCAAAAATGAAAAGAATTTATCTGAGATTTTAAGGAATATTCAGTAAACACATCATTAAATATTCAAATTATAAATATATAATACATTTATTTCTTTTTTGATTACATTACAAGATATATGATCTGTAATGACCATTCTCTTGAAATTATTGAACACAACCGTCCAATGGGCACAAAAACAATGAAAATGGAAAAAAATTGCTCAAGGAAAGGGCGTGATGGATTTTCACGTAAGAAGACACGTATTGACATCTCATTTACAAATTCAAAAAATTAATAATAGATGAAATAGTTTCTTAAAATTCTTTCTTGTTCAAACTGACTTCATTTTCAGCTTAATGGCTAGTCAATATCTTCTATCAACCATATCCAGCTACTTCTCTCTCTCTCTCTCTCTCTCTCTCTCTCTCTCTCTCTCCCTCTCTTTCTCTTGTCCACTTTTCCTCTCATTATTAGGTATCACTCATTCACTTCCTCATTCTTATTATATTAATTAATCGTAATTTATGAAAGCAGAAGATCCACTGAGAGGCTTGAAAGGCATTTCCTGGCCTAAAGCTGGACGATTGTCAAAGAGTGTTGGTGAATTCATAATGAACCAAACATTCATAACAGCATTGCTAATAAGGTAAATAACCAAAAAGAGACGATCAACTACTAAAGACATCAAACGCCATTCGTCTGTGATCTAAAAATAAACACATTTTTTTGAAAATCAAAAGATGACATCATGTACCTTCCCTTCCATCTGTTGATTATGGAAATTAGCTGCTATTATATTGAGTTGACCAGAAATGATACGGAATAAACTCAAATTATCTATTTTGTTTTTTTGTTTCAATGCTACATCCATCTAAGAGAATGATATTGTACCGAACTAATTAGTTCGAACTAACCTGCACTAAGCTCAGCAAGCGTAGTCGTTGAGGTGGGATTAGTGGGGAGTCTGGTTTGATTTGAGAGCTTGTAGCTAAGCGGTAAGCTGAAAGTATTATTGAAGAGTTCAAGAGTTAAAAAACAGACGAACATTGCAAATCACTGCTCGTACTGGCTAAAGTGCTTCCTACTTCTGTTTGATCAGTCTGCAAACCTTTGAGACATAGCCATTTGGGTAAAATTCGAACGAATATGCATCGCTGCCAGTGAGACATTTCAGATGCAAATGCTTGTCTGCAAATAAAACAAAAATTTTCTTTTTCATCAGAAATATGAACCTCCTATAGACATTGATATTAACAACACTTATTAAAATAGCCAAAGTAACAGTTAATAGAGTAAAGAAGAGATATTTGCCTGAAATTGTTCATTTGAGTTTTCCAAGGAATAAGTGAATAATAACCAATTAAGGGAATGACCAAGGAAGTTGGAGGAATTAATTCTATCAAAACAAGATAGAAAACAGTAAAAGCCACAAAAACAGAGACCGAGAATCCAATTTTGTGCTCATTCGGTGGGATAAGGAAAACAAATGGCGTGACGTTGGCTATAATGGAAACACGTAGGAGAAGCATGGGATCGGAGGCCTACCTATCAACATACATGGAATTGTTAGCATGACGGTGAAGAAAATAGCTTTTCTTCGAATCACGATTTTGTACCTAATATCAATATACAAGTCATCGCCACAACAACCTTGATACAACTCTGAATATCGCGAAGAAGTTGCTTCCAATAAATCCCATTCAGCGCTCCTATAAGCTTTTCTTCTTTTTCGCATCTTTGGACAGTTGCATACTTATGATAAAATGATAAACCTAAGCCGTTCTGGAGAAAGAGATGTTCCTGCCCGCGGGAGTTTATCCGAGGCATTGGTTTCTCATCTACATTCACAGGGATCTGTTCCATCTCCAATGTGTTACCGTTGTTGGACCAGCCACCAAACTTCAACTCACACG